CCGTTGGAAGGACCAAGTGGAGAAGGACCTGGCTTCACTTGGAATATCTAATTGGCGCCACGTAGCGAAAAGAAGAAACGACTGGGGCGCTGTTGTTAACTCGGCTATAATCGCGTAAGCGGTGTCTACGCCAATSAAGAAGAAGAAGAACTCGCTAAGCTTTCAGCAGTCAACAATAATAATAACATGAATAGTTTCATAAATTCAAATAAAACTCATCTCGGCCACTTTAAGGAAACTAATTAAAAAACTACTATTGCGGTTAATAAGCACACGCGTAGGACTCTCCTCTCAAAAGTTAAAAAATTATAACAAACAATTTTTTTTATTAATATTTTCTTTATTGTTTTAATTTTTAATCCATATATGCATGTATGTGTTGGTATAGGTGTACAATATTGAAGTCGTTTCTAATTGATCATTCGTAATTGTGGCGTTGGTATACATAATTAACTATATTCGATATATTCAAATACACATACTTAATTGTTGCTCAAATATGTACATTATATGTACTCATGTACATATGTACAATTTATGTATTGTTTATATGCAGCAAACAAATAAATGTACATTTGYTTCGTTATAATCTGCTTGTATACAGTTATAACTTCTAATATATTTCATTAAAAACTTTTTTATTACAGTATTCACTTTATTTAAAAGCGTAAATATGGATACACATTAAATAAATGGGTGTTTACAGCGAGCGCACAACAAAAGCAATAATAATAATATAAATTGTCGCGCAAATAATGCTTTTAACATTTTAGTTGTATGTTTGTATTTATTAGCAGCTATTAATAACATACATATATTTCATAAAATATTTAACTAATTTCACAAAATTTTATTAAAACATTTTTTTTATTTATTTATTTACTTCAAGGCTTCTTTTTAATTATTTATGCACGTAAGTAGCGAAAACATTCGTTTTAATTTTTATTTTTATATTTTTACGCTGTCTTGCCTCAATCATTAACCTAGAATAAGAAATAAAAAATAATTATATATACAGAAGTTACGTAGTAAGATAGTACTTAAGTAAGCGGAAAAGCAGAAAGTGAACAAAATAGTTTTATAGATTTGTTGGTGTTATACTACGCACATATTTACAAAATAAAATATAAAACCTACATACTTATACACAACAACAAAGGAAAAAAGTGCATTTAATGCGTTTCTTAAGTATATGTATGTATGTGTGYGTAAGAACACAATAGCAAGGCAAAGCTTACACGTCTAAATTCACAGAAATGTGTGGTTAATATATTTTTGTGATTACCTAATATACAATTATTTTTTATGCCCTTAAGCGAATCTGCATATCACGAAGATGTTTAGCATTTATTTGTGTTTGTATATTTAAAAAAGTTTTTAATTTTAAATTTGCGAATTAAATATATTTTTTTGGCTTTGTTTAATTTTAATAAATCAATTTTTTAAATTTAAATATAATTTATTTTGAAAATGTTGCATGTGATTTTATATGAAAAATAGTTAAATTTTAGTTCGGTGCAATTAGACAGAAAATAAGTTTGAAGTTACATAAACATTTACAACAAGTAAAAAGTGAAAGTTTGAATTTGTTCAAAATGTGTTTAAAAAAACATATTAAAAGTTCTCATCGTTCCATCATGTGAAAAAATAACCCAAAAATAGTCTATTTTGAATTAGTGCGATCTTCAACACATTAAATCTAAATTTCTATTAATAWATTATGCATGTTAGAACGTGTTCAGATTTTTTATGTTAAAGTGTTCACATTTATTTTTAAATAATAT